GGAGCTGGGTGCGGTGAGCAGCTGCGGAGGCCGAGGGGGACCCTGGGCAGTGGGCCCAGCACAGGGAGATGCCTCAGCCAAGAGGCTCCGCAGGCCAGACTTGTATCCTAACCCCGACTCGGCAGGGGCAATAATGGGAAGAAGGGTCCTACCACTGAGAGCCTGAGAGTGTGTGGCCACCACCAGAGCAAGTGTCCAACCCACAGCTTCCCTGCAGCACAGCCAGGGCCTGAGCAGGAGGCCTGGGACTTACAAAGAACAGACTGTGAACCGCCCTGACGTTCCAGAGACACTGACTGCGAAGTTCCCTGCCACAGAGCGGGTTGATGTGTTTCCTTTAACCTTTCCCATTTTTCCTTATTCTTTTTAAAATTAATTGTTGATTAAATAACTTGCATTTGCTTTAACTTGTATGTAATGGTCAGTGGGTCAGAGAAGTGCCCAGTGCAGAGAGAGTACCCTGGAGTGGGGACACCTTAGCCTCTGTCCTAGTGAATGCCGCAGAGTTGGGGGTCGAGCCCCCCAGGAATTCTGGGCCCAGCCTTGTTGGGGTTATGAGGACTCTGCCAGACAGGAGCGTGGAAGGGGAGTCCTCAAGGGCAGGGATCCTTGGGGTGGACCCTGCCCCCCCACCTGCTCTCCCAATGCTTCCTTAACCTGTACTTCAACCGAGGCTGCCGAACCACCAGCTATCGTCCCCACTGGGGCTCCAGCAGCAGCGGGCGATGGGCTGACCTGCACTGCTGCCACGTGTCTCAGCCGCTCTTATTCTGGGGTAGCTGGCCCAGCTGGCGGGAAGGGCTGGGGCAAAAAAGAAAGGAAAGAGCCCTGCTAAAAATACTTGGTCGTCCATGGCAGGGGCTTCCCCCACTGCTGCGGCCCCACCATCATCTGTGGCATCCCTCCCCGCTGCTCCCTCCACCAGCATCACAGGCGTCCCCTCTCCAGCCCCCAGAGTGTATGCACAGATGGCGGCGGCCCCCCACCAACTCCTGTGTCATCTCTCCCAGCCACCACCGCTGTTGCATCCCTAGCAGCCGGGGCCCCTTCCCCACCTTAGCCAGGAAGCATGGCGTCCATTGTCTCCTAGTGCCTGCCTCACCCCACATGGATACCTATGTACGGGCATTGGCAAGGGGGGTGGGGCCCACGGCCATTGTGGTGCCCTCCAAAATGTATGGCAATGTTGTCTTCTTCCTTGCCTCAGAGGCCGCAGCCCATAGGTGGTGGAGAAGGGACTGGCAGTAGGGGGCGTGTTCGTCCCCCTGGATCCACTGGAGGACCTGGGTGCCCATGTAGTTCTGACCTTCATTCCTCCTTTCCGCCGCAATGTGGAATGCGGGTCCGCTGCTCTATCTCGGCATTTACCTTTCTGCCACGCATCGATCTACACCAGAGAACTGGCACGGTTTACAGGGCAGGGTGATGGAGCGGCTCCGGAGATGGACAGAACTACTCAGGTGCCTCTCCCTTCGAGGGAGGGTGCTGGTACTCAACCAACTAGTGTCCATGCTCTGCTACTGGCTCAACACCCTGGTCCCAGCCGCAGGCTTCCTGGCAGACCTCCAGAAGGGGATTCTGGAGTTCTTTTGGCCAGGACTGCACTGGGTCTCTGCAGGGGTCCTCCATCTGCCCCTGGAGGAGGGAAGGCAGAGTCTGAAGTGCCTATGCACTCAGGTCCAAGTCTTCCGCATCCAGGCCCTGCAGAGGCTCCTTTATGGTGCAGGTAGTCCGGTGTGGAGAGTACTGGCTCACACCTTCCTGAGCCGCTTCCGAGGGCTCCAATATGATGAGCAGCTCTTTTATATCAATCTGAGAGGTCTTCCGCGAGACCTCTCCATGCTGCCGGTCTTCTACCAGGACCTCCTCTGGACCTGAAAACTGTTCTCTGTGACCAAGTCCATGGTGGCCACTGAGGGGGCAGATCTCCTCGCGGAGCCCCTGCTACACAACCCCCAGCTCCGTGTGCAGGTGGAAGAGTCCCCCTCTTTGCGCCAGAGGTTGGTCCTGGCAGAAGTCACCAGAGTTGGAGACCTCCTGGATTACGACCGGGGAGACTGGCTGCATCCCCTGATGCTCACTCAGCGTATACGGCTCTCCAGGACTTGTACTCCTCAGCACATACTTCAGGAGGTGAGGGCCGCTTCGCCACCCACTGCTCGGGTTTACCTCGACCGGGTCCTGCATTTGGGCACGCCCTGTTCACCCACCACCACAGGCCCTCCGGACCTTTTCATCAGGCCCGTCCCCCGTGGACCCAAACAGTCCCCCGCCCCTTCTCCATGAGCCGGCTCCATGACTTGCAGCCAGTTCGTTTCCAGACCGCACCAAGGAAACACCTGTACATGCTCGTCCTCCACACCCTTTACTTCCTCACCCTCGTCTTCTGCACCGACACAAAGTGGTGGGACCTCTTGCCACCTCTAGAGAGTGAGGAGCCCCGGTGGGCCAGCCTATACTCCACCCTGGTCCTGAGGCCCACTGGGGATATCAGCTGGAGGCTCCTTCATGGGGCTGTGAGCACGGGCGTGTATTTGGAGCGGTTTACATCTATCCCGGACACCTGCCCCTTCTCCTGCGTGAGGGAGACTCTGGCACATGTTTACTTGGAGTGCGCCAGGTTGCAGCCCCTATTCCTGCTCCTCACAAATATCCTGTTACGTTTCTGGCTGCACTTTTCCCCTCACCTCCTACTCCATGCACTCCCTGTCTGTGGCCCCACAAAGTCACCGGGACCTCCTGGTCAGCCTCCTCCTGGCCCTGTCTAAAATGGCCATCTATAAAACCTGGGAGAGGATGTTGACCGATAGAGACTCCTGTGACTGTGGGGCCTCTTTCCAATCCTCTATCCGTTCACATATCTGGGCAGAGTTCCTCTGGGCAGTGTGCACTGGCTCCCTTAACGCATTTGAGGAGCAGTGGGAGCTGTCTGGGGTTCTCTGCTCGGTGTCCCCATCAGGATCCCTTCTTTAGACCCTTTGACCACACTCCTGTCCCTGTTATTTCATTAGTTGTCCCATGGAATCATTTGGTTTCCAGGTCCTGTAGATCCTCCCCTAGGGCTATGGGATGGGGGAGGGGTTCTCATGCAGTGGGCGGGCTCCCGCCTGCCCACTTCCCAGAACCCAATAGGTACAATATGATACCAGTCTCTGGGAAGCAATCTTATGCAGTGATGTTACGTTCACCTTACGCAGAAAGCGTGCTCCCCAAAGTTACGCATTTCAGATTGTATCATTTCTATGAAGAATTCACAAGTTACACATCTCTTTACCCATCACTAAAATCCAACCCATCTGTTTGTCCTAGTTCCCTAATGTAAGTGGGGAAGTATTATGGGGAACTTTCCTGGCTTTTGCATTACCACAGGGGAATTCGCTGAGGAAAGGCTATGAGTCAAAACTCACACTCCCTTTTCCCACAGGCCTGCCTGACATCAAGGACTCCCCTTCCATTCTCCTATGGTCACTTAGGATAGGAGCTAGAGTGTCCCCACTCCAGGGTACTCCCTTCACAGTGGATGATTCCTTGACCCCCTGATCACTAAATTAAGTTCAATCCAAATATAATTTATTAAACAGCAAGTGTAAGACTAATAAACCAAAAAAGGGAAAGGTTCACAGAAACAAGAATCCCTGCTCTGTGCGCATGGGGATATCACAAAGAGTCTTCTCTAGGATGCAAGGAAAGTTCATAGTCTCTTCCACTCCAAAATTGACTCCAAAAACAACTGCAAAAAGCAGAAAGAAATGGAGTACTTGTGGCACCTTAGAGACTAACCAATTTATTTGAGCATAAGCTTTCGTGAGCTACAGCTCACTTCATCGGATGCATGCTTTGTATGTATATAAAAAGATCTTCTACACTTTCCACAGTATGCATCCGATGAAGTGAGCTGTAGCTCACGAAAGCTTATGCTCAAATAAATTGGTTCGTCTCAAAGGTGCCACAAGTACTCCTTTTCTTTTTGCGAATACAGACTAACACGGCTGTTACTCTGAAACCTGCAAAAAGCAGTACATTATTTTTAATTAAAAGTGATGTCATAGTTAAATACAGCAGTCCAGTTCTCAAAAACACACCATTTCCTAACTCTCACCAGTAAGCTCTGGTACAATGGCCTCCATTGGCAGCTTTCCTGTATTTGGACTTTCCCACTGAAACATTAGCACTATCCTCCAGGATTTGTGATGGATTCAACATGGAAAAAACACGTACATTTTGTTCAGCAAATCACTGTCCATATGATACAGAATTTCAGCATTGCCTTTTTTTTCTTTTTCTCTTTGGCTATCTGAAAGTGTAACTTTTGTTTGTAAAACTGGACAAGAACAATTACCACAGAGGGACTAATGGAAAACTACTTTGCATCAAAATGCTACAGTGTCTTATGGTAGTCTTAGGGCAGGTCTACACTACATCTGGGATTGATGATCTGGGATCAATCCACCGGCGGTCGATTTAGCAGGTCTAGTGAAGACCCGCCAACTCGACAGCAGATCACTCTGCGGTTGACCCCCAAGAAAAAGAGTAACATAAGTCAATGGGAGATTTTCTCCATTGACAGCCCCCTCTCCACCTCCCCACAATGTAGAACCCGCTGTAACTTGACCTAAGGTACATCGACTTCACCTGCCTTATTCATGGAGCAGGAGTTGCATAGAGTAGGTTGACACGATGAGTAGGTTGACAGCATGGTAGTATGGACATAGCCTTAGAGTCACGGAAAGGCTAAGTATCAGGGTGTGTGGGGAGGGAGGCTGATGGGTGACAATAAAGAGGTCAAGTGATGGTCAGAGAGAGGTAACTCAGCAGTGGAAAGAGCAGTGCTTAGTGATGGAGTGATAAGATGTTGGTTGGGAGGAAATTCTCAGACTGTGAATTTCCACAATGCTTTGCTCAACCAAACTAGGACAGTGCACCCTTGATTAATGAGGAGATATGCTTTCCTCCTCTTGTCACACAGGTTTCAAGTCAGTGGCCCCAGGTAATCACCTTCATCAGGTGTATTTGCCTACTTTGTCATGAAGCTCTTTGGTTTTGACCCCATAAATGATAGGGTTGAGCATGGGAGGGATGAGGAGATAGAGGTCGGACAAGATGATGTAAACATGGGGAACAATGCCTTGACCCAACTGGTGTGTGAGACTGGAGAAGAGGCCAGGGGTATAATATGTCAGCATCACACAGATGTGGGCTGTGCAGGTGTTGAAAGCTTTCTGGTAGGCTTTCTTAGAGGAGATTCTGAGGACGGCCAAAACGATGCAAACATAGGGAGCGATGCCTTGACCAAATTGGTTTGTGAGACTGGAGAAGAGTCCAGGAATATAATATGTCAGCCTCTTAGAGATGTGGGTTGTGCAAGTGTTGAGGGCTTTCTGGTGGGCTTTGTTAGAGGAGATTCTCAGGATGGCCCTTTTGATCAGACCGTAGGACAGGGCAATGAGCGTCAGGTCAAACCCATTGATTACAAACATTAGCACCCAGCCGTATATCCTGGTGACTGTGAGGTCCCCACACACCACCTTCTCCACAGCTAGGTACTCGCATTGCATGTGTGGGATAATGCGGTTGGCACAGAATGGCTGCTGACTCAGGAGCAGGGGCAGAATGAAGAGAACAGCTCCTATCAAACCTACAAGCCCTAGCTTAGCTGTTTGTGTATTGCTGAGGATGGTGGCATATCTCAGAGGGTTACGTATGGCAACATAGTAATCAAAGGCCATTGTCACGAGGGTGGCTGAGTGCATAACAGAAACCGTGTGGAGGAAGAACATCTGGGTGAGGCAGCCAGCCACAGTAATGCCTTTCAAATCGAACCAAAATATGCCCAGTGCCTTTGGCATGACAAAGGTACGTGTGGCAATATCTGTAAGTGCCAGTATGCAGAGCAGAAGGTACATCAGCTTCTGCAGAGTCTGTTCCTTACCTACGACAGACAGAAGCATGACATTTCCCAACAGGCTGACAGTGTAGAATGTAAAGAAAGGGATGGAAATCCAGATGTGGGCAGCCTCCAGGCCAGGGATGCCCGTTAGGATGAAAGTTGAAGCATCAGAGTGGGTGAAGTTTAAAGCTGCCATGAGGCGGCTGATGCGTTGATATGACTCAGAAATTCTCAAGGTGCCTGTAAAGGGAGAAAAGCACAGCAAGGGGGTTACATGATTTTTAAACAAATAATGTGGTAAATATGTTATAGTTATGAACATTCTCGGAATCTTCTTGAGTGAGGAGTGAAGAACCACCAACAATGTCACTCCCTACTTTCTATAGCTTTAGCATAAGGCGGGAACCCTTTGTTTCAAAACTTGGTTTCCAGACTAGTTTGTGGGAAAATTACAGACTCCCCAAGATGGAGTCCAGAGTTATGTGGCCTGGTCACATGGCCTTGTAGAGTCATAGCATCCATTACGTTGAGTCTGTCTGAAGCATTCCCAGGGAGGCTCACCAGGTGAGAGATCACTTTCTCTTAAGGCCTATTGTTTCCGCCAATGTCTAATTGCCCTGAATAGGCCCTTCCCAACCAGCTATCGAGACTGAAACCAAGTTCCCTAGTGGTTGTTACCCAGTTGTAACTACATTTGAAATGCAGAGAAGTAGTCAATATTCAGAGCTTCTGACAAAAATCATAAATGCATACAAAAAGGATAATCATATTCAGAAAGTCATAACATTTCCAATGACATCTTACATAACCCATCTTGCAATGGGGTACATTGTCACAAAAATATCAATGGTTATATCTACCAATGAAATGCCTGAAGTTACACAACAACAACAACTGGAAACAAAACTGTGTAAAGCTTGTGACACCCAGATTGTAGTTGTATGGCTTGCCAGGGCAAAGAGACCCTGAAAATCCCCAAACACACTCTGTAGCAAGAAAGGTCCCAAAGCTGGCCTTGGACCAACAATCACAAAGAAAAAAATAATTTCAACAGCACTGCCCACCTGTCCACCTACATGCTGCTCTGCGACCCTCTGATGTTCCCCTCTGGTGTTATTTAGACTGGTGATCTGTTAGGTCACCCCAATCCTTTACTCTGGGAGCCAGCCTTCCTCTGCTCAGCTGTGAGAACCTCACTCCTGGCCTGTTCACACACAGTCTCTGGCATGTAAGCTGCTCCTCGGCTTGTGCAACCGAATTACACTAGACAATATCTCCAGTCCCAGACACAACCCAAGAAACCTCCCTCTTGCAGGGTCCAGCTATGCCCGCAGGACACTGCAAGCTTAAATGAGTTTGTCAATTTAACAAAGAAATTGAGATGCACCAGGCTTTTTATCACAAGGGGAGTCTCTGTCACGCTTCAAACCAAACACACTGCTTCAGGTTAGAATAAACAACAAATGTATTAACTACAAAGACGGATTTTAAGTGATATTAAGGGATAGGCAAAAAGTCAGAGTGGTTACCAAAAGAAAAGAAAACGTAAGCACACTGTCATAAATATAAAGGGAAGGGTAACCACTTTTCTGTATACAGAACTATAAAATCTTTCCTGGTCAGAGGCAAAACCCCTTCACCTGTAAAGGGTTAAGAAGCTAAGATAACCTCGCTGGCACCTGACCAAAATGATCAATGAGGAGATGTCAAGGTTCCTTCCCCACTCTGAACGCTAGGGTACAGATGTGGGGACCTGCATGAAAAACCTCCTAAGCTTATCTTTACCAGCTTAGGTCAAAACTTTCCCAAGGTACAAAATATTCCACCCTTTGTCCTTGGATTGGCCTCTACCACCACCAAACAAATACTGGTTACTTAGGAAAGAGCTGTTTGGAAACGTCTTTCCCCCCAAAATACTCCCCAAAACCTTGCACCCCACTTCCTGGACAAGGTTTGGTAAAAAGCCTCACCAATTCACCTAGGTGACTACAGACCCAAACTCTTGGATCTTAAGAACAATGAACAAACCTCCCAACACTTGCACCCCCCTTTCCTGGGAAATGTTGGATAAAAAGCCTCACCAATTTGCATAGGTGACCACAGACCCAAACCCTTGGATCTGAGAACAATGAAAAAGCATTCAGTTTTTTACAAGAAGACTTTTAATAAAAATAGAAGTAAATAGAAGTAAAGAAATCACCTCTGTAAAAACAGGATGGTAGATACCTTACAGAGTAATTAGATTCAAAACATAGAGAACCCCTCTAGGCAAAACCTTAAGTTACAAAAAAGATACACAGACAGAAATAGTTATTCTATTCAGCACAATTCTTTTCTCAGCCATTTAAAGAAATCATAATCTAACACATACCTAGCTAGATTACTTACTAAAAGTTCTAAGACTCCATTCCTGGTCTATCCCCGGCAGAAACAGCATATAGACAGACAGAAACCCTTTGTTTCTCTCCCTCCTCCCAGCTTTTGAAAGTATCTTGTCTCCTCATTGGTCATTTTGGTCAGGTGCCATCGAGGTTACCTTTAGCTTCTTAACCCTTTACAGGTGAGAGGAGCGTTCCCCTCGCCAGGAGGGATTTCAAAGGGGTTCACCCTTCCCTTTATATTTATGACACGCCCCCCAAATCTCAGCTAGGGTGAAACACTGGCTGGGATTTCTTCCTGGAGCTCTAGGAAAAACAGAGTTAATAAGACACATGCATCTCTAAATATACTACCAAGTACATAAAGACTAACAATATTTTCTACATCTCAAGGACTATATTAACCAGTTGATTCTGGGAAACTTTCACGGGAGAGTGCATCAGCCACTTTGTTAGAAGCTCCTGAGATGTGTTGGATGTCAAAATCAAAATCTTGGAGAGCTAAACTCCACCAAAGAAGTTTTTTTTAGTTTCTTTGATGGTGTGAAGCCACTTCAGTGTAGCATGGTCAGTTTGCAGGTGGAAACGCCGTCCCCAAACATATGGGCGTAGCTTTTCCAGAGCATAGACAATGGTGTAACATTCTTTTTCAGTGACTAACCAGTTGCTTTCCCTCTCAGACAGTTTTTTGCTGAGAAACACTACAGGGTGGAATTCTTGATCAGGTCCTTTCTGCATTAAAACTGCTCCCACACCACGCTCGGACGCATCTGTGGTTACTAGGAATGGTTTGTCAAAGTCTGGGGCCCTTAGTACAGGGTCAGACATGAGTGTCACTTTAAGCTGGTTAAAGGCCTTCTGACACTTTTCGGTCCACTGAACAGCATTTGGCTGTTTCTTTTTGGTTAGGTCTGTCAGTGGGGCGGCGATTTGGCTGTATTGCGGTACAAATCGTCTGTTATAACTGGCCAAGCCTAAGAAGGATTGAACCTGTTTCTTTGACTTTGGGACAGGCCACTTTTGGATAGCATCCACTTTGGCCTGTAGGGGGCTGATAGTTCCTTGACCCACCTGGTGTCCAAGGTAAGTCACTCTGTTTAGGCCTATTTGACACTTCTTAGCCTTAACAGTTAGTCCTGCCTCCCTTATGCGCTCAAGGACTTTTTGTAGATGTTCCAGGTGTTCTGCCCAGGAATCTGAAAAGATGGCCACATCGTCAAGGTAGGCGACTGCATAGTCTCCTAATCCGTCTAGGAGACAATCTGTAAGTCTTTGGAAGGTGGCAGGTGCATTTCGCAGCCCGAAAGGGAGGACATTAAATTCATACAGCCCGACATGTGTGGTGAAGGCTGACCTTTCCTTGGCAGATTCATCTAGCGGTACCTGCCAGTACCCCTTGGTTAAGTCCAAGGTAGAGATGAACTGGGCCCGTCCCAGTTTCTCTAATAGTTCATCTGTGCGTGGCATTGGATAGTTGTCTGGGTGAGTTACAGCATTTAGCTTATGGTAGTCCATGTAAAAACGTATTTCCCCATCTGGTTTGGGAACTAGAACCACTGGAGATGCCCATGCACTTCCAGAGGGGTGGATTACACCCATCTGTAACATATCCTGGATCTCCTGTTCTATAGCCGTTTTAGCTTGAGGAGACACCCAGTAAGGTTGGACCCTAATTGGGTGAGCATTACCTGTGTCAATGGAGTGGTATGCCCCTTCAGTCAGTCCTGGGGTGGCTGAGAACGTTGGCGCGTAGCTAGTGCACAGCTCCTGGATCTGCTGTTGCTGCATACGCCCAAGGGTCATGGAGAGGTTCACCTCTTCCACACCACCAGCACTTTTCCCTTCATAGTAGACAACTTCGGGCCACTCAGCGTCGTCTCCTCCCTGGGCTGTAAACTGACAAACCTTTAATTCTCTGGAATAAAAGGGCTTTAGAGAATTAATATGGTACACCTTAGGCTTTGGGTTGGAGGTGGGGAATGATATGAGATAATTAACATCTCCCAGGCGCTCCTGGACCGTGAATGGCCCTTCCCACGATGCTTCCATTTTATGGGCCTGGAGCGCCTTTAAGACCATGACCTCTTCCCCTACTTTGAAGGAACGCTCTCTGGCATGTTTATCATACCAGGCTTTTTGCTCTTTTTGAGCATCCTGTAAGTTTTCTTTAGCAAGGGCTAAAGAGGTTCGGAGGGTGTTTTGTAGGTTGCTTACAAAGTCCAGAATGTTAGTTCCTGGAGAAGGTGTAAATCCCTCCCATTGCTGCTTCACCAACTGCAATGGCCCCTTAACCTCGTGGCCATATACAAGTTCAAGTGGGGAAAACCCTGAACTGGGGTGTGGTAGAGCTCTGTAGGCAAAGAGCAACTGCTGCAACACTAGGTCCCAATCATTGGAGTGCTCATTTACGAATTTATGTATCATGGCCCCCAGAGTTCCATTAAACTTCTCCACCATGCCATTTGTTTGATGGTGGTAAGGAGTGGCAACCAAGTGATTTACCCCATGAGCTTCCCAAAGGTTTTCCATAGTTCCTGCCAGGAAATTAGTCCCTGCATCTGTGAGGATGTCGGAGGGCCAGCCTACCCTGGCAAAAATATCTGCTAGTGCCTGGCACACACTTTTAGCCCTGGTGTTGCTTAGAGCTACTGCTTCCGGCCATCGGGTGGCAAAATCCATGAAAGTCAGTATGTACTGCTTTCCTCTGGTTGTCTTTTTTGGAAAAGGACCCAGAATATCCACAGCTACTTGCTGAAATGGAACTTCAATGATGGGGAATGGCTGGAGAGGGGCTTTGACCTGGTCTTGGGGTTTTCCC